TAAAATAAAATTTAAAAAATATTAAAAAGAGATCTTGAGGGTGGAGCAGAATAGGACAAGGTTCAGATCTACTGTTCATAGACTTGTTATGTGTCATAGTTGACTTGACAGCAACTTGACACCCTTGGGGCTGTTCAAATAAAACGTATTATTATTGAACCCTAGCAAAGGGATTGGTCCATTTTCTTCCCCATACTGTTAGAATGAAAACAAACCATTTCAAAGGTAGACAGGGGAACCTCACTACCATCAAAAAAGAAAATCTAGGAGTGGAGTACATCCTTTTGATTCAGGATTCCTGTGCTGAGAACCTCCTAGACCCAGAAGAGAGAGGGAGTTGTAATACCAGAGAGCGTATGAATGACTTCAGAGAAACAGCCATGACAGAATCAGGACACTGGCCCAGGACAGTAGAGTGGGCTACAGTTGGTGCCAACTCACAGAGCTAGAGAGCAGAACACTTTCAGACAGAAAGTTTCTTGAATGAGTAGGGTGTTTGGGGGCACTTGTCACTGTACATGTTTTGTTTTGTACCATAGAATCAGAACTGAGCCATAGTGGCTTTTCAGAGGCGGTCAATCATATGGGAGGAGACTGCCCATCTTTTGCCCACAGAGCAGCTGGTGGATTCGAACCGTGTGCCACTGGGATTGCAGCCCAACTTCTTACCACTTGGCCATCAGAGCAGAGTGAAATAACCGAGTGCCTTCAGTCCACGGCTTGCTGGTGGACTAAGGTATCTCAAGCACTCACTGATGGAACTAAGTAAATTTGTAGCATTTGTCCAAACAGTACAGAGGCCAGGCCAAAAGGCCCAAGGGATCAAGATTCAGAGAAACCTCTACCTTTACACACGGCGGAGAAACAAGAGTCCTGATCAAAGAACTGCATAGTGAATCATTTCTGTCCTTAATTTGTACCCTGTTATTTCTCTAATGGGCTGCATAATCATGAGTAATTGTAAGTTCTGTGTGATCATTCCATTGACTTACGGGAGGGATAGTTGCTATCAGAATTGATGCAAATGTTGGGGGAGGAGGTGGAGGTATGTCTGACCTCAGCCTCTTAGGACCCAGTCTTGGGATTCTTTCTCACCCTTGTGGTTAAAGTCATCATGAGATTTTGACACCCACCTTTCAGCTCAGTTCCTCTCATCCCAGATTTCACTTCTCTTAGTCTCTTTGGAAGCAAGAGTGTAAAACAACTATGAGATATCATCTCACCCCAGTCAAAATAGCAAAATTTAACAGAACAGCAAGCAACAAATGCTGGCGAGGTTGTGGAGAAACTGGAACCCTGATTCACTGTTGGTGGGAGTGTAAAATGGTGCAACCCCTGTGGAAAGCAGTATGGCGCTTTCTCAAAAAGTTGCAAATAGAGATACCATTTGACCCTGCAATTCCACTACTGGGAATATACCCTGAAGAGACCATAGTTGACATCCAAGCAGATATATGCACACCCATGTTTATTGCAGCTTTGTTCACAATAGCAAGGAGTTGGAAACAACCTAAGTGCCCATCAACAAACGAATGGCTAGAGAAGCTGGAAGCAAGAGTGGCATCCACTTCCTAAACAACAAGCCTCAGGAAACTCTATGAACTTTGAGAAACAACAATAGTTATAGAAAGGCTTCAGGTCTTTTGTTCGTTATGAATTGTGCTCAACTTGAGGCAATCAACAACAGTCTCTGTCAGTGAGCATCATATTCTGCCTCTGCTGGGTCTTCCTCTCTCTCCCCGCACATCTCTCCACCCTGGATCACTGAGTGTCTATTTATCTGGCCCTCAGCTGGTTTCTCACCCCATCTCTGAGTGTCTCCTTCAACCCGTGTGCTGGAGGCTGCTTCCCCTCTGTCCTTCCCTGCATTGGTTCGTCTGACGCTCTTCCAGTCTTACTCAACATTTCAGTCTCCTGAGAATTCTCTCAGCAGATGGTTGGTAAGCTCATATGTTTATGACCCATGAATTGAAAGTTGCCTCCATAAACATAGTTCTTATTTGCATAGCAAACCACTCCAAAACTTAGTTGCTTAAATAAAAATGATTGTTCTTTCTAATTATCTGGTGGATTGACTGCTTCTTGGGGGTGTTACTATAGAGTTGTTGTACTACATATATAGTTATAGGTTTTTATAATATGTAAATATATATATTTATATGTTGTTGCTGTTGACTCATAGCGACCCTATGAACAAAAAGCCTGAAGCCCCTCTACAACTACTGACATTTATCAAAGTTCATAGTTTCTGGGGGCATATGGTTTAGGAAGTGGATGCCACTCTTGCTTCCAGATACTATATATTGTATATAATATGTTGTTATTGTTGTTGTTAAGTGCCATCAAGTCATAGGCAACTCATAGAGACCCTACGAACAAAAGTCCTCAACATTTGTGTGACTTTCATCCTTTCTCCAGGTTCATAGGATTTCTGGAGGCAAGCTATTATGGAAGTGGATGCCACTCATGCTCCCAAATATATTATATAAATATGTTTGGGTGCAACCACTGTGGAAGGTGGTATGGCACTCTCTCAAAAAGTTGCAAATAAGGGGAGCTATGGTGGCCTAGTGGCAAGAAGCTGTACTGCAATCCCAGAGACGGATGGTTTGAATCCAGCAGATGCTCTGCCGGGAAAGGAGGGACAATCTCCTCCTGTACCAGTCAGATCTGATTTGATGGTACACACACACACACAAAAATAATAGTAATAAAATTTTTAAAAAGTTGAAAATAGAGATACCATTTGACCCAGCAATTCCACTGCTGGGAATATACCCCAAAGAGACCATAACTGACATCCAAGCAGATATGTGCACACCCATGTTTATCGCAGCTTTGTTCACAATAGAAAGGAGTTGGAAACAACCTAAGTGACCATCAACAAACGAATGGATAGAGGAGCTGTGGTATATTCACACAATGGAATACTATACTGCATTGAAAAACAAGGAACTCACGCAATATTATTCAAAGTGGGTGACTCTGGAGGACATTATGCGGAGTGAGATATCTCAATCACCAAAGGAAAAATACTGCATGGTGCCACTGTTGTAAAACAGGACTGACCTTGGGATTGGGGAGAAACTGAGTAAGATGGGTTCAATAATGTATGCTGCTCTGAAACAGAGAAGGGAGAAAACTGTTTAAAAGGGATAAGTGATTAGGTATTTTTGTCATGACAGGAGTCTAGAGCGAAGGCTACACAGTGGAGTGGACCTGGGGGAGGGTTTGTAAAACAATGTTCCAAAAGGGTAGTATACTAGGGGGGAGGGTTGGGAGGGCAGAAAAGTGCAACAATGAATGAATGGCAATCCAAAGTCTCTGTAAATTTTTACTGAAATTAATAATAAATTTAAATTTAAAAAATATTTGTTTGGTGGAGCTCCCAGATTAAGAAATACTTGGAAGCAGGAGTGGCATCCACTTCCAAACAACATGCCTCTGGAAATTCTTTTAACTTGAAGAAACTAGATATAAAACAGGGTTAAAGTCTTTTGTTCATAGGGTCGCTATGAGTCGTGATTGACTTGATGGCACTGAACAACAATTATATACATAGATAAATGTATATATGTATATAAATATATGTTGTTGTGTTGTTCAGTGCCGTTGAGTCGCAGGCGACTCATAGCGACCCTATGAAGGAGAGTCCTCAACGCTTGGGTGCCTTTCATCCTCTCTCTAGGTTCATAGGGTTTCTGGAGGCAAGCTATTATGGAAGTGAATGCCACTCCTCCTTTAAGCTTGTTTTAATCAGGGAGCTCCACCCCATTCTCTGTCTGCATTGGGTAGCCAATCATTAACAAATTTGACACATCAGTGTCACGATGTTCAGCCTATATAAAAATATATATTTATTATATAGTTGTTGTTGTTGTTGTTGTTGATTGCCTTCAAGTTGAGCACGACTCATGGCAACCCTATGAACAAAAGGCCTGAAGGCCCTCTACAACTGTCGACATTTATCAAGGTTCATTGTGTTTATACACACACACACACACACACACACACTTGTTGTACTATGGAGTCATAATCTACCCAGAGCTGACCCTCCAGTGGGTTTTTAGAGGCAGTTAATCACACGGGAGGAGATTGCCCATCCTTCTCCCACAGAGCAGCTGGTGGCCTCGAACCGCGTCCTTTTGGGATTGCAGCACAGCTTCTTATGACTAAGCCACCAGAACTCCCATTTATATTAGTGGATTCTCACTCAATTGTGGTCAGATGTTGAAAGACTCAACTTGTCTTAAATGTCTCTTATGGATTAAGTCACATGCCCCTCCTTTCCCCAAAAAAAATATGCATCAACTTGGCTAGGCCATGACCCTCAGTACTGTGTAACATCTCCCATTGATCTTGCGTGTTGTCAGTTCTAGCCTCCAACACCTTATAGACAACATCACCAGATCTCTTTATAATGTCTGTGAGGCTTGATGGAAGTGATGCTAATACACAAGCCACAATCTGAAGGATTAGATCGTCTCTTGAGTCAATCTCTTGACATTCTAGAGATTAAATGATTGAGCAGAGACGAGATTGATCTCATAACTAGCCTCACACACACGTCTATTCACACAGTCCACAAAGCCTCATTATATTCAAACATAGACACATCCTCATACCGAGATAGTCACACTCACATATATTCACCTTCACACATGACACACTCAGATGTCCGCACACACATATAATTGCACACATACTCATGGTCTCACACCTAGAGACAGCCACCCTCACAGAGACACGACACACGTAGGACTCCGAGGAGAGTGAAACTTGAATTTTGCAAACCATGTTTCCTGCTTCTCTGAGACCCCAGACCGACTGTTCTGTGTTTAAAAATTGATACTAAGAGGGCCCACCAATCCCCACGCTAATAGACTTTTAAAAGCTGGTCTTGGCCCTGGTAGGGACGTTCCTTAGTGTCCTCAGCGAAGAAACCAAAAACGAGGGTGGACAGGGGAATCAAGGGAGAGCCCGAGCATTTGGCCCTGCACTATTGCGGCTTGGCGTTGTATCCAGGGCGAATGAATGCTCATTTCCAGCGCCGTCTGGCCCTGGGCTGAGAACTTTCTGTCTAACCACCGCTTTCCTTCCCCGTCCAGCCCGCTGACCATGCCCGCGGGTGTGCCCTGGCCCACCTATCTGAAAATGTTCGCGTCCAGCCTGCTGGCCATGTGCGCAGGGGCCGAAGTGGTGCACCGGTACTACCAGCCGGACCTGACAATACCTGAAATTCCACCAAAGCCTGGAGAACTCAAAACACAGCTTTTGGGACTAGAAGAGTTACAACATGAACCTCAGATTTCGAAGCAGTAAAAAACCTAAAACACAACCATGCCAAGGATTCTGTGAATAATATTATAAATCTTGAACATATATTTTTAAATATTTATTGAAAGTCAAACTACTTGTTCTGAAGCATCTAATGTAATATTAACTGTGAGAGCAGGTATCCAACAGATAAGAACTTTGTTGAGAATTAACAATGGTTTGGCCAATGTGTCTTGAAAACGGCCACAACTTTTTCATCAGCTTCTTGAATGTGGTTTTGAAGATGTTTGCTTACTTTTGAATATCATGTGGGATAAAGTGTTTGGAAAGTCTTCTGTCATTATAATGCCTATTTATTTTTCTGAATAAGCTTTAATTATAATGGTGAATTGGGGTCATAAATTAACTATAATAAAAGTCACATTGATAATGAAAAAAAAAATTGATACTAAGGCAAGCTCTGGTGGCCTAGTGGCAAGAAGCTGCACTGCAATCCCAAAGGTGTGTGGTTCGAATCCACCAGATGCTCCACTGGAGAAGGAGGGGCAATCTCCTCCTGTACTGGTCAGATCCAATTTGATGGTACACACACAAAATAAAAAAATAGCCCTACTCCGGTGTCTGCCACCAGCGCCCGCACCTCGAGTGGTTCGCTGAGCTTCCTCAAGCCAGAAACCCACAGCATCAATTCCAGACAAGGTGCCCAGGAAGGACTCTGTGGTTCTGGCCTACAGCAGCGGCCTGGACACCTCCAGCATCCTCATGTGGCTGAAGGAACAAGGCTACGATGTCATTGCCTACCTGGCCAACATTGGTCAGAAGGAAGCCAGGAAGGCGGCCCGGAAGCTCGGAGCCAAAAAGGTGTTCATTGAGGATGCCAGCAAGCAGTTTGTGGAGGTACGTTGCACAAGGATTGAGGATTGCTATGTCCTGGGCCAACTGGCAGCATCAGTATGGATGGTGAAGAGATTGAGATAGTTAACAGTTTTAGTTTACTTGGCTCCACAAACAACACTCTTGGTAACAGCAGCCAGGAAATCAAGAGACAAATTGCATTGGGAAAGTCAGCTGTGAGGGACCTCTCAAGAGTACTGAAGAGCAACAATATCAGGCTGGAGACTAACGTGCACCTGATCCAGGGTATGGTCTTCACAACTATGTGCTATGCATCAGAGAGTTGGACAGTGAATAGGGATGATAGAAAGAGAATTGATGCCTTTGAGCTGTGGTGCTGGAGAAGAGTGTTGAATATACCATGGACTTCTAGGAGAACAAACAGGTTTTTCCTGGAGAAGGTGAAGCCAGAATGCTCCTTGGAGCCAAGGATTCTGAAGCTTCGCCTGACATACTTTGGGCATGTTGCAAGGAGGGACTGGTCCTTGGAGAGGGACATCATGTTTGGAAGAGTGGAGGGACAGCGCAGGAAAGGATGACCCTCGATGAGATGGATTGATTCTGTGACTGGAGTGGTGGGAATAAGTGCGTTTGAGATGGCTAGGTTGGCACAGGATAGAATGGTGTTTAGAGCTCTTGTACATAAGGTCGCTGTGAGTCTCAAGCCACTCGATTGCACATAACAACAACATGTTCTGGGCACCTCTCTCGCCAGGCCCTGCATCGCCTGCAAACAAGTGGAAATCGCCCAGAGGGAGGGAGCCAAGTATGTGTCTCATGGCGCCATGGGAAAGGGAAATGATCAGGTCTGGTTTGAGCTGACCTACTACTCGCTGGCCCCACAGATTAAGGTCATCACCACCTGGAGGAGGCCGGTTCAAGGGCCGCAATGAGTATGCAAAGCAACACGGAATTCCCATCCCAGTCACTCCCAAGAGCCCATGGAGCATGGACAAAAACCTCATGCACATCAGCTAGGAGGCTGGAATCCTGGAGAACCCCAAGAAACGAGCCCCTCCAGGCCTCTACACAAAGACCCAGGACCCTGCCAAGGCCCTTAACACCCCCACCATCCTTGAGACCCAGTTCAAGAAAGGAGACCCCGTGCAGGTGACAAACGTCAAGGATGGTACCACCCACCGCACTATCCTTCATGTACCTGAATGAAGTCTCTGGCAAGCATGGCGAGGGTCGCACCGGCATCGTGGAGAACCGCTCCCTTGGAATGAAGTCCCGAGGTATCTACGAGACCCCAGCAGGCACAGTCCTCTTACCATGCCCATTTAGACATCGAAGACTTCACGATGGATCGGGAAGTGCGCAAAATCAAACAAGGCCTGGGCTTGAAATTCGCTGAGCCGGTGTGCACTGGTTTCTGGCACAGCCCTGAGTGTGAGTTCGTTCGCCACAGCATTGCCAAGTCACAGGAACGGGTGGAAGGAAAGGTGCAGGTGTCTGTCTTCAAGGGCCAGGTGTACATCCGGGAGTCCCCACTTTCCCTCCACAATGAGGAGCTGGGGAGCATGAACGTGCAGGGCGGTTATGAACCAATCGATGCCCCTGGCTTCATCAACATCAACTCCCATCATCGTCTCCAGAGCAACGTCACCACCAAACAGACCAGCTTGAATGAAGAGCTGGGCCTCCTCACTCGGACAATTTCCCAAGAGCAGACGCTAATTGTTGTGATAATTTGTATGTTGGGGGCGCCAGACCCCAGCTTTGTTCCCTCTTCCCTCTGTAGCCTGCAAACTATGGTCCGCAAAAAAGGGAGACTGGGTGGGTGGGGAACTACGGTGGGGAGCAGTAAAATAACAATTTTTTTAAAAGGGGGAAAAAATAAAATTTAAAATAAACTCATTGCCCTCAAATCGAAACGCATTCAGTATTGACCCTTCCTTGGGTTTCAAAGACTGGAATCACACAGGAGGAGACTGCCCATCTTTCTCCCTCAGCGGTGCTGGGGGATTCGAACCGCTAGACTTGCCTTTAGGTTAGCAGAACAGCTCCGTATGAACCATCAGCTCTTCAGGTTTAACTAGTTCCTCACAAAATGTTTTTTCAGAACCACAAGTTTGAGCCATTAACCCGAGCACAACAGCCAACGAGGACTGGAACCAGCACTGTAGGAAACTGCGCATGTGCGACATCCCAGACTAAGTCATACCAACCAATCCCAGAAGCCTTTGCAGTGGACGTCGTCCTAAATGTTATTTGCATGTGCAGGTGTTCTTTATAACCCTGCAGTCCCCCTCAGTCCCAACTTACTAATGAATAAACATATGCCCCTTTCGCCTTTTAGATCTTTTTCTACGTTCTGGACCCACTCTCAAACAGGGAGACAGAGGCGACCACTGAGGGGTTCCTCTCTCTCTGCTGTTCCCAAGCTGCTTCTGCTTAAAAAAATCTTTGTTATAGGGAATCGCTGAGCCCCTTCTGTTCATTTTGGTTAGGATTTAGACAGTAGCTAAAACAATTTGGGATCAAAACCACAAGAGAGTTAAAGGTGAAATCATAGGGTCCCTTCTCGTTCCAGCTGGACCTTGTTAAACTTTTAAAGCACAGCCTGAGACTGTGTAAGATAAACAAGAAAGCAAAAGCTGGTTGACCTAACTAGTATTTTGTTGTGTGTCACAGAGTCAGAACCGACCCATAGCTGACCCTCTGGCGGATTTTCAGAGGCAGTTAATCACATGGGAGGAGATTGCCCCTCCTTCTCCCGCGGAGCAGCTGGTGGATGGCCTCGAACCTTGTGCCTTTCAAGGCTTGCAGCGCAGCTTCATGCCACGAGGCCACCAGAGCTCCATAACTAGTATTTTACACATGAAACTCCGTGACATCGTGACATTGTGTAAGAATGATCGAAATGGAACTTTGAGCCACGTCACTCGATTGGTCCACCACTCACCTGTTTTGCATAAAGCGCGCCCCAGGAAGAAATCTGTGTAAACCCATGATCCCAGTAGCCTAACGACCCCCTCCTTTCCTTTCTCTGGAACTTACTTTCACTTTTTCTAGTAAATTACCTCTACTTTCACCTGCGCTGTTGTTGCCTCACCTTTCTTGGTAAATTGGACATTCTAAGCTTAGCATCTCTGAGACTCTAACGCTAAGCGGCAGCACTATTTTTTGTTTTCATTTTTTTTAAATTTTATTATTATTTTGTGTATGTGTATCCTCAAATCGGATCTGACTGGTACAGGAGGAGATTGCCCCTCCTTCTCCAGTATGGCATCTGGTGGATTCGAACCACATACCTCTGGGGTTGCAGTGCAGCTTCTTGCCACTAGACCACCAGAGCTCCCTAGAGCAGCAGCTCTCTTAAGAGGTACTGAAATTGCTGTCCATGCCCTGGTGTCTCCGTGGTCGTATGGGCCCTTCTGTGGTGACGCACCTCACCTCGCTCAGTACTTTTTCCCAGTAGGGGAGGTCGAAGCCAGGGCACTTGCCAACTCACCAGACATTAACATTTTTTGATCACCAAGGACCATGCACAAGGGACAGTCCCAGTCAGGAACCATGGTCCCAGCAACATAACCTCACCTTCTACCATCAACTTGATTCTGATTGGTAACAACCCTGCAGAGCAGAGTAGAATTGTCCCAGAGGGAGCTCTGAGAGTCTAGTGTGTAAGGGATTGTGCTGCCAAACCCAAGGCAGATGGTTCAAATCCACCAGCTTCTCTAAGGGAGAAAGATGGGCAATCTCCTGCTGAATAGTCCCCGGAGGGTCAGCTGTGGGTTGACATCAACTTGAAGGCAGTGACAGGATATTTTTAAATCTTTATGGGAGGAAATGGCTATATCTTTTTGTTGTTGTTGTTGTTCTTTTAATTAATATTAATGAAAGTTTACAGAGACTTTGGATTTCCATTCATTCATACACTGTTGCACTTTTCTCCCTGTCCACCCCTCCTCCCCAATTCACTCTTCTCTTTGAAAAGTAAAAG